CCATATTGTCTCTTAAAAACAGTCTTCAGACTGTCTGTCTTTATCCAGTGCTGATACTAAAATAACACCCTTCACTTACAAAACCCGTAGCACAGGTTTGATATACGAAGACAATGGCAGACTTGGAGCGAATGAAACAGAGATCCGTTCTGCCCACGTTAGTTGTCACATGCAGCGCAAACCTGGAACCCTATTTGCGCAGCACCGAAATCTCTGCATGCTCTCAGAAACCTTCCACACAGAGATGCATGAGGGAGAGCAATGAAGTGGGAACTGCAGCGACTACATGAAGTACTTGGATGGGATTTCCCTGGAGGGAAGACTGGCTCCAATCCATCGGCAGGGCCAGGAGGTGGGCGCCTGCTGGAAAGCAGGCCAGAACACCACATGAAACACTGGTCTGCTGTGACCAAAACCTCCTGGAAATACCACGTACTTCTTCGGGTATATTCTCCATTTTTCTCCCTGATTCTTGGAAAAATAATGGAATTTAAATCCCCACTTGGGCTTGCAGTATCAGAAAAAACAATATACAAGCAGAAAAAGAATTACCCTCACTGTAGTGCATTTCCTGGGTCTCTACCACATGCTCAATTTTGCCAATGTATTGAAAGAACTGTTGCAAAAGGAAATATTATGCAGAGCACAAGCAATACAGAATAAATACAATTATAAATGCAGCAGCTTTATAAATAGCCAGAATTTTGTATCTTCATGTTTACTGGGCTATGGCCCAGTAAACAAAAAAATTATCTGCAATGGTGAGGTTTAATGCATGTGTTTTGCTGAAAAACAGAAACACACTCTGTTTCCAAACAGCAATAGAGCAGTTACAGCAGGTATCTGTAGTAGGGAGTCTGACCTTCTTGTTTTATATTCCAACTAATGAATGCTATGAAAACTTGACAGGATAATTATTTTAAACTTCAAACAGAGGCTTCCAGACACTTCCAGCTCTGCCAGCACACCAATTTGAGCCTCTAGTAACGAAGGAACTTAGTGGTTCAGGGATGTACTAGAGACTGAGTTTTACATTCCTCTTTACACTGACAGCTTTACAGTTTTCACAGGCATAAGCAGGGATATTTAGTAACAGCAGATTTTTGTTGCTCTTGTTGTTCTGAGTTAGCCAGTGAAAGCACTTGCTCCTGGGATTATTTCTGCATCCAAGGCAGAATGCAAAAATAGATAAATGAAAACACCCCATGGTGAGCGAATAAATTCTTTTCACACTCCTCGCACCATACATGTGGCAAATTCTTAGCTACCATGGTGCAACTCTGATTTAATTCCACCAAAATCGATGGGTTTTCTCTCAAGTGTAAAGAGGAGCAAATGAGACTTGCCAGTAGGGACCTGGTGCTCCTGGATCCCTCACCAGCTGCAGGATCAAACCTTTCCAACAATTAATTGTTTTTTCTCCTCATTTGAACATATCACCTCAGATTACCTCTTCGAAACTGCAGCATTCTCTTTTATGCTGATCCATTAAAATTTGGTGGATATACGATTTGCATTTGTACAAAACTTGCTTTTTCTTATCTTTTCTTAACACAAAATTTCAGCAGGGAAATCTAGGAAATTAAACCTTTCAGTTTTCTTACAAAAAAAAAAAAAAAGTACCTTCCATTTCCAAAGAGGTTTTTCTGTTTCCTTAATAAGAGATTACTTGGTGGGAACAAACATCCTTTCCTCTAGACTAGCAAAAATCACAGAGCTAATATTTAACACGTGTTAGTGCACAGAAACACTGCAGTGGCAGGCCCGAGCAGAAGGCCTCACATAGGCAGGGCAACCCAGGTGCTCGGCCACCTTGACCAGTCTGGATGCAAAAAATCGTGGGCTACAGCAGCAAGAAACATGGCTTGTTTCTCTGGGAAGTTTTGTTTTCAGTAACTCTGCACTTTGCAATGTGAAAAAAAAAAAAAACAATTATTTACCACTGTTTCATCATGAAATTCCTGGCCAACACCACCTCAACCAGCAGCCTCGTAAGCAAAAACGGACTGCTGAGAGAGTTGCCTTGTTTTTTTGCAAGAGTTGGGAAAAGAGTTAATAATTTTTGATAAGTCAGGTGATATACCCAGGAAAGAAAACAAAAAGCATACAAACTTCGAGACATATACAATTCTCCATGTCTTAAAATCCCTCTCCAGTTCTTATTTTCAAACCTGAGAGCACTGAATGCCAATTATGTAACAGCCTCACCTCAGTACTACCAGAAGTGGAATATTTAGATATGATACCATTTTGTAGATTGTATTTGCCTCTGTGTTGTTTTAATGTGTTGTTTATGAAATAAAAATAGATGCAAAAACTCCCATCTCCAATTAGGAGACCTTTCTGAGTGCTTCTTACAACTCTCCTCTTCAGAAAGGAACTGCAAAGGAAAGATGCCAAAATCAGGAAGCAGCACTTAAATATTGCTTCTTTAGCCTGCACTGAGAAATGTCTTTTGGAAGCAATCATGCTAGAAGGCAAATAAAAAGATGGAATAAAAAGGTCCTCTCATAGTTCTTTGGGGGCTGTCTCATGATTCCTGAATCCTTGGTAAGATGGTTAAGGAAAGAATGTTCTTTACAACAGCACTTGTTCCACAAGGAATATACAGAATCAGTTTCTGCAGGTACAGTGGACTGAAAAAATGCAATCTTTAAAGCTTCAAAGAACAGTTGGAATTATAAGGAGAATCTCTGAATTCAGGAAATTCAGGGGAAAAAAGAGAGAAAAAAAAAGGACAGTGTTTCTGAGATAGTGTAATGTCAGGATCCTAATTCTACAAAAAGAAATCTGTTTTCATGAGTGCAGAGCACTCAATCAATTATAAAAGCCCTGAATTTAAACCATGCACTTTTGCCCACCTGAAGTCTTGTAGCAATTTCAGAATGATGATAGGAAACCGGGCCAAAGAATCAATTAGACAGACATCAAACTGTTCATAACATCAATCTTCAAAGCAATGTTTTCTCTTGCATTTCCACAGAAATCTGTTAAATAACTACAACATGCTCAGGACTTATCTTTGTTACTGTGAAAAGCCATATGCACTAAAAATATAGAATTATAAATCAGCTCCTGTGAAAAGATGGCAAAATAGGTCTGTGATATACAACAAGTGTAACAGAAATCCTTCTTGTATATATCTTAAATATGCACACAGACAAAAAAAAGCTGATTCTGGGCTAAGGTTGAGAAAGTATTTCTAGCAGGAATACCTACACTGCAATAGAGGTGACTCTTTTCAGAGTATAGCTCTACTCAGGTACTGCCAAGGGTATCTGTATTTGGTTTAATAATTAGTTTTATTGTCCAAAACACATGCAACAACATATATACACGTGGTTCCTTCCTTGGAGTTTACCACCAACAGATCTGCTTCCCTCCACGTGCATGTTTAACTCCTAGCAATGCTGCTTCTGCCACGAAAGCTGAATCTGCAGCCTGCAAGTTGAGCCGCTAGATGTGCCCCATGAGAGTAAAGCAGACCCCAAGCCACCAGAGTAGCTGGCCCAAGCTCACCACCAAGCCCTGAAGCAGAGGCGAGATGGCTATCAGCCTCTGATGGATTATCCTCCAATAGAGACAGCTAAACCTTCCAAACTTTCACCGTTCCTTAAAATCACTGCCTTGCAGGTAAGCAGGGCTGATTTTTCTTGCGTTTGTGGCTTTCTAGCTTTTCTGGAGAGATCCACATCCCCAAGGAACCACCCCTGTCGCACATCCCGTGGAGCAGGCACCCTCCCTAGCGCACCCGAGGGACCCTCCTGCTCGCTGCTCACACAGGGAGCCAAGAGACTCATTTCCACAGAGACCTGCACAAGCACCCCGGGGACAGGAACCAGGGAAGGGGGAAGAACTAACACCCCAGAAAGCACCCTTCTTCATCCTGCAACATCCCCCTGCCTGGGACACTGGTTCAGTTGAAAGCAACTAGCGAAAGGGGAAAGAATTGAAGGTCTGTGGAAGGACACCATCCTGTCCTCTCATCAGTCTGACAGTAGGCAATAAAAAGAGAAAACTATAGACCAAAGAGCTCTATCTAAGGAGTTTCTCACAACCTGACCTCCACCCCACCATGGACCCCTTTCAAAGGGCATCAGCAGCCAGCCCTGCCACTACTAGGACAAGACTGTGAGCCCAAAACAAAAGCACCATAGCATCCCAGCAGCAGGACTTGGCTGTGGCCAAAGCAAAACACTTTTGCCCTCATTTCTCTTATGAATCTCTGCTGGAATTGAGACGAGGCAGTTCAAGGTGAGGGGATGCCTCACTTCATGTTTTTTCTTTATTTGCTCTCTTTTTATAAAAAAAATCAAGAGTTCCATTCCTTTCACTGATCCATGATCAAGGTGTGATTCCTATTCACTTCCTCAGAGGTTGGATAAGGTTCTCATTGCATAACTACCAAGAAAAACAAAAAAGAACAAAACCAAACAGCCAACATGTAGCAGAGACGCTCGTCCAACTTCCCCTGCAAGCCCGGGCACCAGGACCACCCAGAGTTGTACGGAGCAGGGCATGCCACGGATTTCTCTCCTCCTATCCTCATCTCGGATCCGGCTGCACCCTCAGATATTTAGAGATCTACCTATTTGAATGGTGGGATTTCCAGTGGAGCTGGGATGCTCAGGAGCTGGTAAGAGATTCCCAGCCCCTGTGGCTACCTAGTGTTTTCCTGGGCCCTCAGCACAAAGACGCTGACACTTCAAGTTTGCCAGCTTGTATCTGTCCAAGAGATGCGTGGGCTGCTTACCAATGTTAGCTTCTCTGGCTTGGGGATGCCCTTTTTTGCTGCGACAAGAGCAGGGAATCCTAAGGAAGCCGTCACCCTTGCAAACTTAGTGTCGGACCCCCCCACGGGAGTTCCATTCCATTCTGTGCAAGCTCTTCCATGGCAGCGTCTCCAGCGCTCCGGCAGGAGGCAGCTCGCGCGGAGGCTGCTGCGGGAGAGGGCAGGGGCTGCCCCGCGGGGCCCCCTCGTCGAGCGGCTCCCCGCTTACCTTGCGCACGCCGCCGAAGCCCAGCTCGCTCGCCAGCCGCTCGGCCTCCGCCTGCTCCCCGCCGCGCAGCTCCACCAAGAAATGGTTGGGG